TTGAGATGAATTGAATTGATTTGAATCCAGTTGAGTTCAATTCATTTCAATTGAAGTTAGTTTAATTGAGTTGGGTTGAATTTAATAAAATTGAGTTGAATTTAATTTAATGGAACTAAGATGAATTGAATCAAATTGAGGTGAGGTGAATTCTATCAAATTTAATCGCTTCAAATCCAATTGTATGTAGTTCAGTTGAATTTAATTTAATCAAATTTAATTTAATTGAGTTTAATTTAATTGAGTTGAATTGACTCAAAATGTCAGAATGTTAATGAATTGGTCCAAATAGAGTTGAGTGGAGTGATGATGTGTTGTGTGTAGTCTGCAGGGAGTGGTGTGGAGGTGTCCACAGTGCAGCGGCAGCGTCTGGAGCTGCAGCTCCTCATAGCAGAGCTGAAGGACCGAGATCAGGAGCTCAACACTATGGCTGCAGCTCATCACAAGCAGATGCTGATCTGGGAACAGGAGCGGCAGAGGGTGCTGATCCTGGAGCAGAGATCTGCCCGACTGGAGGGTAAAGGAAACCACAGCAAAACCATGGCTGTGTACCAAATCACATGCTATATGCCCTACAATGTGTTTGAAAATAGAGTTAGTGTGTGTCAAATCATCAGAGTATTCCAGAGTTATCCAGATGTTCTGCTGTTTTCATGGTTTTATATTCTACTATTCCCTGTAGAACAAGTGCAGGTCCGTGTATGCTCTTAACGGCTAGTATATATAAATCTTCAGTGTGCCTGATTGTCAGTGTTTGTCCCCCAGATGAGCTCCAGAAGCGTAATGATGTGATCCGAGCTCTGAGCAGGCGTCTGCAGCTGAGTGAGGCCCGAGAGAAGCACTCAGAGCGGGAGCTGAACAGCACACAGCAGCAGCTGCACGAGCTCAGCCAGAGGCAGATGAACACCAGCAGACACGAGCAGGACCTGGAGGTCAGTAACACAGCAACACTCGCCATACATTACAGCAGATTAGAGTAGATTCAGCTTTATTGTCATTCTGCAAAGAACAACAGTGAGATGCAGTTACAGTCTAATGACAAGTGCCAAAAACAAGAGTCTAAAATATACAGTGGTGTGAAAAGTGATGTATGCCGGGTTGTTACACTTTAATGCTTTAGATCATCAAACAAATTAGCCAAAGATAACACAAGTGAAAAAAGTGTTTGCCCCAAACCCCAATAACCGGCTGGGCCACCATCAGTAGCAACAACTGCAATCAAATGTTTTCCATAACCTGCAGTGAGTCTTATTTTCCAGCATGTTGGGTTTTCCAGCATGAATCAATTTTATAAGGTCATCCCACAGCATCTCAATTGGATTCAGGTCAGCACTTTGACTAGGCCACATTAATTCTCAAGTGGATGTGCTTTTATTTTCTTTCTGCTCAGCAGTGGTTTTCCTTTATGATCACTGTCATGCAAACCATTTTGCCCAGTTTCTATCTTATGGTGGAGTCATGAACACTCACCGTAACTGAGGCCTGCAGTTCTGTGAATAATGTTGTGGGTTCTCACTGTGGTTCGCTGCAATCCCGAAGCTTTAGAATTGGCTTTATAACCTTTTCTAGACTAGTAGATCTTAATTATTTTCTTTCTCATTTGTTTTTAAATTGCTTTGGATCTTGGCATGATATTTAGCTTTTGAGGATCTTTTGGTCTACTTCTCTTTGTCTGTCAGGTCCTATTTAAGTGATATCTGGATTGTTGATTATGAACAGTAATCAGGCCTGGGTGTGGCTGGACAAACTCAACTCGTGTGATAAACCAAGCTAAGTTAACAGGGGGGCAAACACTTTTTCACACAGGGCTATGTAGTTTTGTTTTCCCTTGATAATAAAAACCTTCATTCCAAAACTGCATGATGTGCGAACTTGTGTTAACTGACTAATATTTACATTAGTTTGATGATCTGAAACATTAAAGTGTGACGAACATGCAAAAGATTAAGAAATCCGTAAGGGGGCAAACACTTTTTCACAACACTGTTAATGAATAAAAATCAGTGGTGTGCAAAAATTAATTGCGAGTAATCACATCCAAAATAAAAGCAGGTTTTGACATCATATATAAACGTGTGTGTATTGCATATATTGTATTGGGTATATGTGATACACATGCATACATACTAACAAGACAATGTGAATAGTGTTACACACCAGAAAGAGCAAATGTGTGTGTGTGACTGAATGTATGTTTCTCCACAGGACAGAAATGAGAGTCTGAAGTCGACGGTTCTGATGCTGTCAACTCAGGTGGGTCAACTACAGGTACGGGAGGAGGAGCTCAGCTCAATGCTCAAACTTAAGGTACACACACACACACACACACACCCTCACTCTAACACACACCCAACTCTGAGTCAGGGTCAGTAATATCAGCTCATGTTCTTCCTTAAGGATAAAGATGTGATCGAAGCCACGAACCACATCCTGGAGCTGTCGGGCCGTGTGTGTGAGCTGGAGAAGACCCTGGAGGAACTGCGCACGCGAGATGGCAAAACACAGCGAGACGCAGAGGAGCACAAACAGCGCTTCAGAGAGAGCCGATACCAGAACA